CACTATATAAAATGATAGTATTGTAATACATTGAGAGATCTTCATTTGAATAATCAATAAGCATGATTGAGCCTTTGCCTATATGTTTCCTGGTAAGTGTGTTGTAACTGTTTCTTATAGTATATTATAGTATCTCAAAGTAAAACCGAATTATTCTTTTCTGTATTCTCACTCCGTAGCGAAGCACGGGTAGAGCAACTAGTAAGATTTATATGTAGAGTTTTATAAGTAAAGATCTATAACCGAAAACAAGAATCGTATTTGAAACGACAGTTGTTAAGTTGTATTCCAATTTAAGAGTACTTATAAAACTAAATTTAAATCTAGAAGGTGACATGATACAATGGTCATGTTGAGACCTCCAAGGCGGATCGCATATCACAAAGAACTAGCTCAATATCCTGGCATCTCATATTTTAGACAAGGCCACCCTCTTGACTAATTATGGCCTTATTACATTGTAGGCGAGTTGATTCCCGGTTTTGGCTGAAGTCACGGCCTTGACTCACGTTTCATTAGAACTAGCAATCAGAAGTAATTTATAATGACATCTATCGGAGAGAAATAAACAAGCTTCATTGTACCAAAGAACAAATATATTCTGTTCGGATCTTAGTTAATAAACTCGTGTAATTACGTAACTCGAACTACTAGAAAAACAGAAAACACATTATGAAAACATTTTGTTATATGTTGTTAATTAAGGAGCACTCTAAATATGAAATAAATGAAATGAAATACATAAATAAATAAATAATATTTCATTTCATTTCATTTAATTCATTTCTAAATATAAGCTTTCTCTTGATTATAGTCATATGCAGGACATGTAAGTAATTTGCTTATCGATGTATTTACATCCTATGGAGTTATCTCCGTATTTAGTTGAATTGAGAACTTACGTTGTATTTATGTACTACGTGAGTTCTCAATTCAACTAAACTAGTGTACCTGTTTTTTGAGCGTTTTTAGTGTGAAAAAACATTATTTCTATTTCTTCTACTTGGTTGTGTTCTATGACTTTTTCTATGTTTCCATTGTTTGCAAATCGGTTATTTCAATGATTGCTCAAGAAATGTAGCACAGTGTTAATTCAGTTTTATTTTTAGTCTATATCAAATTGTCCAGGATTTCTCGCTCTTTTCAATTGTAATAATTACACCAACCCAAGTTTCGTCTACAGATGCAATATGCAAAAGAATATCACCTACGTACAATCTCCAAGAAGGGGTAAAAAAGGCAGAAACCAACCCATACAATAGAAATAAGTTAACTCTTAGGAAATAATTTTATAAGTTACTGTGATATTAGGATTTTCCACTGATTTGGTAATAGAACATTATATTGCAAAACATGACACGATGCAGAAGAAAATCAATTTTAAATTCAGAAAAATCCATTGCAAATACTGTACTTCATTTTGACAAATTCAATAAATCACAATTTAAAAATATTAACAGCTGTTATATTAAAAAGTAGTGTAGAATAATTATGCATATGGTCGTAATGTAAACAAATCTGAAGAGGCAACTTTAAAGGTTGTGGGGCAGAGCCCCAAGAGAATTTACCTCTTTCCACTTTTGATGGCTCATCTACAGACCAAGACCTTTCTTTAGAGACCCCTACCAGGTTTCTACGCCCAGCCGTTCTCTCAAATTAGCTGTGACAAAACCCCCGTTTTCCTCCATAAGAATAACATGGAATGGGAATTTAAAGGCCACGGGGGCAGAACCCCAAGGGAATTCACCATGTTTCTCTTTTGATGGCTCATCTACAGATCAAGACCTTTCTTTAGACACCTCTACCGAGTTTCTACGCCCAGCCGTTCTCTCAAAATAGCTGTGACAAAGAAAAACAGTTTCAAATTAATATATAGATATTGAAAAAGGTTAACTTTAATTAGCATGGCAACTACATAATATGATATTGTTCAACATCACCATCTAAACGTGTGGTAGCTGGACTATAAAATATGTTATCACCCAGCTCACCTAATAACCACAACCAATAGATGATGGCAGGTGCCTTAAGCTTAATATGTAATAAATAATCGGGAATACATCAGCATTGAGCGTATTATCCTTAACAAGTAATTAGCAATTGAATGGAACTCGTTCAACAGTAGTCCGAATGTTACATCATGTCCGTAGTAATTAAATTTACTATGATGCTTTACATGAGGGCAACAATCAGTAATATTTGTGAAATATCAGAATTCGTTATATAATATATAAAAGAAAAAATGGAATCCATTAGGGCCACTCTTTTGAGTCCAGTAAATAAATATGTACATTTATTAATCAGTGATTTAGTTATCAGAGATTTATAATTTATACATCTGTTTTACTAATTCACCAGCACACTGTGTTTTTAGGAACATTATAGGATAGGAATGGTGCTAAATAAGAAAAGTGTGTTTATTGTGATGGTGTTATTACATTATTATTGATTGCTTACTGCTTATAACTTTCAACTCTTGATAAATCATACAATTCAAATCGCATACAACTTCTGATCTTGACTAGTGGTTTTGTGTATGTAAGGTTTATAATATTTCTCGACTGGTTTAGGCTAGGCTAAAATTAAGTACACGTTAACGGGTTACATGCTGTCTGGGGTAAATCTGCATAAGGGGGCCTAGCATTAAATAATTCAGCTGTAATGACTTTTAAATAGGCTAAGCACGTCTTTGTTATAATTTATCTTAATTTTAAATGAGCATATTTTGGTACTTACAAATACCAATATATTTGTTAATCGACTTCCCCACTACCAACAAAAGGAGGAGGTTCTCAATTGTGGCGATGTTTTTTTTTTCTATGTATGTTCACCAATTTCTTTGTGATTCTTTTACGGATCAGTGTGGTTCCACCACCAAAATAACCAGGAGAGTTTCTATTTGGTACCTTATATATTATGTTTAAGTATAATATTTGTTTCGGTGAAAAATTCTGAAAACCTTAAATATTCAACATTTATTTTGTTTACATTTGTGCAGATTGTTTACATTTGTGCAGAGAAGGCAATAAATAGTACTGTAATAACATTCCTACAGCTGTTAGTTGAAACCATTTAAATGAAGCTACAGACAATTCTTCATGAAACGGTTGCTTCATATTGATCAATAAACTATTTCTTGCCATGGAGCCTAAATGAATTACATTGAGAAAAATGCATTTTGTTTTGGTTACAATAAAAAATGTATTTTAACGCCTGCTTCGAAAAGTCCTAGAGGAAGATGATTTGCAATTTCGACTAGGCTATATCTTGAGCAAACAAAACCCCCTACATGACTTACACCACTTTTAGCTGAACCAATCTTTCATATAATATTTTGCAAAGGTACTATACGTGTTAACGACCAATTTTCCACTTTTGAGAGATTTTTAGTGCTGGTAGCTGAGGAATAACTTTCATATTGTTCCAAAAGGCTTGAGACGTTACTGTATTTCTTTTTATAATGTATAAGTATACCGATTGTAGGAAACGATGATGTCTGACATTTCAATGTATCTAGAAAAGACAATTAGTTTTTCACTAGGCCTAATGTAATGGACAACTCTTTCTTTCTTAAGGAATATCTAAAAATGTTTATTTTCATACCCATTGATTATGTAACCTGAACAGGTGACTCAAGCGGTTTTAAAATAATGATTGTTCTGTGGAACTTTTGACTGTGTCAAACAGTTTTGCTTATCAAAAATCCTCAAGTAATTAATATATAAAAAATTATACAGTCACTAAAAATCTTGAAATAATTTATTTTTGTAAAAAAATACAACCGACTTCAAACGCTCTAAAAAGAATGAAATAATTTCAATAAAGCAAACTTTTGTATTAGGCAAGCTCACGTATTTCAAGTCGGCTCGGCTCAAACTGCAAATATGATTGAAATTAAATATTGTGTGTGTATTTTGAAAATCAATAAATTGTAGCTGGATAACATTAATATATAAAAAAAATACAGAACTGTTTTGTTTATATATTAAAGGAAATATTTTCTTGTATTTTATGTTTACTTCAGAATAGATGCATTATGAAAATAACACACACAAATGTTCTATATGATTAGGAAAATAATTTAGTTTGATATTATGATAGGGAAAGAAGCTAGTTAAGTATTAAAACGTTACTTTTCCAAGTTAGAAACATTTAAATGCGTTGTAATCTTTTTAAAGATACTCGTTAATACCACTATAATGCCGATCTCTGATTACGGTAATAAAATAACACTTAACGCATAACTATGAAAAAGACATGCAGATTAACACCTTTAGTTATAGATAGTCACCTGCAATATGGACACCCTCTTTCAATTTTGTATAAAAAATCATCATAGAGTCGCGCCGACTTAAAATACGTGAGCTTGCCTAATACAAAAGTTTGCTTTATTGAAATTATTTCATTCTTTTTAGAGCGTTTGTAGTCGGTTGTATTTTTTTACAAAAATAAATTATTAAAGAAACAGTTTCAGTAGGAACTTTGGGTACATAAGACTGAAACATATCATAGTTAAGGATATCGGATAACATATGCTTAGTTTTAAAATATAAATATTATATTGTTTAGTTAAAATCTAAGAAGTTGATTTCCACTTCTTGTCAAAGGTCAAAATAATCTCATTTTAAGGTACACATAAGAGCATTGAGGTTTACGGTTCGAAAAAAAAATATAACAAGTTATTCATAACTAATTCAAAACTATAAATCAGAAAATCAAGTTGTAAACACATTTTTAAATGTCATAGGACCTAATAAGTACTAAACGAATAAAACTACTCTCCAGGATCAAGAGAGAACGGGAACCACACAATTCAAGGTTTCTTTGAATGTCCACGATCCAAAACAAACAAAGATCACACAGATCATTAGGACGGCTTTTTGTGCCATCGACACATGTTCTAGAACCGTTTGGCATCTGCTCGGCATTTTTTTCCAAAAGCGTCGGCGTCGGTGGGGCTCAGCGAAGGACGCCAGGGAAGAGGCATCCCATCTGGAGGGGGTACACGACTTGAGGGTATAAAACTGTGATAAACCCTACAGTCCTTATCAGTTCAGTCCAGCACAGAACAGCCCCGAAACAACAATGGCCGCCTTCAAGATTCTGGTAAATCTACTTTGCCTTACTTTTACTTATATCTAGTGTGCTGTCTGCCATCATTCTACCGTTAGTAAAAATTTATTTTTCATACTAGTTTTTTGTAATAATTAATAATTATTGAATTTTAATTACAGACCTGAGTTTTGTATAGTGATATTAACATTGCCATTGCTGAACATTTATTAATTTTACCGTGTTTTATTTTTGTTAAAACAATTGTAAGCCACATTTAGTCATATAATCCGCACCCTTAGACTATTTGATTTTTTTAAGAATACAATTTCGAATAGGCTAGCGAATTGTAAACCAAAATCGACATTTTTAAGGTCAAGATGTGTTTTCTATTGCGTTTTGACTAGAGTTATATTAGAACATTTGACTTCAATATTTTTTGGAGTTGATTAACTCCGTTAATAATGACATGTTTGTCACATTCATGGACCTCGATTCATTGTCACTTCGTTCAGCTTACCGGTGCCCATACATACAATATAGCGATTTACTTGGTCCTCTCTAATCCAATACTAACACTGCCACATCAATAAAGCTTTATCGGTGTATATAAGAAGCGCCGAAAAAGAAAATATTACGTTTTAGTACAACATTTGTTAATCTTTTTGCCATGATTTATTAAATTTAAAAGGGTTGTAAAATGAAGGCAACCGTATTCACTCCTTAAAACTTGAGTTTATTGTTAATAACAATTAATTATAACTTAACTTGTTAAGTTCGCAAATAAATCCACGAAAATGGATTTAGTGTGGTAGGCCTACTTAAATACACTAATGAACTATGTGGGATGGCTAAATAATTATTAAGCGAAATAATACCCCCACAGCGGCAAACCTACAGACTAAGCCAATTTCCATTTACCTGGTTGGGTTTTCACTAAAATATTCTCCGAGTAGTCGTGCTAATTGACTTTTATATATGATAGAAATAATAGTGGTTACGGTTTCTATTTTAATATTAGAAACGAATTATTTACTGACTACACTTTTTGGAAGGAATTCTATTTAGCAACTACTACTTTTGGCAGTTATGTCATAATCATGTTGCTTACGTAAAAAATAAATAAAATAAACGTTCGAAGTAAATAAATGAATAAAATACAACTGACTTGATTAATTTAAGTTTTAAGTTATTTTAATTTATTTTCTTTTAAATGCTTTGCATGCTATATAATATGATTCCTTTTCAATTCAACTGCAGAGTTTTTAAAATTCAGTTATAAGTTTGATTTTTGGACGTTCATTGTGTTGAGTAAGTTTTTAGGAATGTTCGTGTAGCTTTTATAGACACTGCAATTACATTAGTAAAAGCAAGCTTGTTATAAAAAAAACATTTAAATGGTCCCTTACTTCTGTGTAGTACGTCCCCATTATAATTTATTAACTAAAATATTTCTAACATTTTTCTCCCCTAACGCAAACAAAAACGGCTACCTGGCTAGTGCTGTTATTTTAGAAGCATTGTGTTTCTAGATTGAATGATACAAAACGTAAAGTGAAATGATGGAACAGGCTCGGGGTGTACTCCAAAGTAATCGAATGAAAACTTTTAAATCTCAGCGGGATCATTTCCCTCCTCCCACCCACTATGCCAAGATTATAAAAAGTTTGATGATTTAAAAATTTAAAACTCCATTTAGTTTTTGTTTAGAGTGATTATAATTGCTTACGTTTGTATTAAATCAATTCATAAAAATATAGATAAAATATACTTTTTATGTAGTCTACTTGAAGTTGTGCATTATATCATATCCAGATTATAGTTAAGCCTGTAACAGTTGAACTGTAATGTTACAGTTCGTCGTGGCTCTAGCCGCCGCCGCCGTCATGGCCGAGGACTCCAGTGTCGCTGACAGGTCCAAGAAGCAGATCTACGGAGGATACTACGGATACGGTCAGTCATTTATGCTATTAACTTATACAAGTGTATCAATACACACACAAGTAGTATCAAAACTATGAGTGTTAATTTTTGATTTGTAAATAAGACAGTTAAAAATAAGTTTTTTTTTAAATAGCAATAATAAAATGTTACACAATCTAAATTAAAATAGATTTTTATAATGATGCCATAAGTTACTGTGCATAAAAAAACTATCTATAAAATTCAACTATATCTTAATTTTGTAGAAGAAAAAAGTTGTTTCGTCCAAAACAGATCATGTTTTTTTAGAAAATTCCACTTAGCCTAAAGGAAATCAGCTATCCAAAGTATCATGTTTCTCACGATAATACCTTGTACCAGGACTAATTTATTTATTACTTTGATGCCCCTCGTAGGCCAAAACACCATTCGCTCAAATTCATCTATATTTATAAATAAAAGTTCATACTTTGTACTGATGTCGTTTATATATTTATACTAGCTGCTGTACCCGTGATTCGCAACGGGAAGATATACCACCTAATCTAAACACTTATTAAGTGGTAACTACTAGTTTGAATTTATAAAACAAATAGACACCAAATGTATATAAAAAAGTATAAAGTACATTGTAATTGTCCTTCTGTTTACATTAAATTATATCAATAGCATTATTTTTATGACAGACACTTTAATCAATCTAAAGCAGAGCCTTGGTTGATGCAACAACGGTTAGAGAATCATTTTTTATTTCCATAATCAATTAAATAGTTTTAGAATAAATACACCTACCACATAGTTGTGTAAAGTATTAGCCTATATTTAATTTATTTAGATCAGCTACCTGAATTGATTGTGAAATTTGGCAGTTCTGAATGTTTACCTTGAAATATCAACTCAAAAGTAAACATTGTGAGTTTTCTCATGCTTCCATGGAGACCAATTATTAATATTTTCTTTTGAAACCTCACCTAAAAACCTTGGACATCCAAATAGTCCAGTCAATGAATGATCCAAAAGTAGGTGTAGAGTGCGTGAGCAGGTAACTAAGCGATTCCTTCAGAAACTTGTTCAGGGGGCTTAGGGTGTTAACATACCAAAAGTCCTGACTCCTAGGTGGTGAGCCAGGGGGTGGAGGGGGGAAAAAGGGGGGGAAAAAGGTACGCATTTTGGGTTTTTTGATTATATCTCGAAAACTATCAACTTTTTGTATACTATAGTAAATTATAAAATTGAAGAAGATTAAATTTTCTCCATGAAAAGTATATAATGTGTTTATTTTGGCTCAACAGATTACGAGTTATAACTTATTTAATTGATATCTTATTAAAATACTCCTTCCATAAGAAATACATGTAAATTAGTATGCGAAATGGGGCGAATCCTATCCGCCCAAAGGAAATATAACTGATATTCTAGAAATATTGACAAAATTTTCAGTAATTTCTAACTCACCTAGGAGTCAGGACTTTTGGTATGTTAACACCCTAAGCCCCCTGAACAAGTTTCTGAAGGAATCGCTTAGTTACCTGCTCACGCACTCTACACCTCATTCCTTGACTGGACTAAAAGGCGTATCCCGAGAGGAACTGAGGGAAGTGAATTGGCCTAAGAAATTCCTAGATATGTGGACCATCTTTGTGCTTAATTTTGGCTGTATCGGTTTAGTATTTAGTCGTGACAGCTGTCCAGACAGACAGACATACACCACCTCGATTATAAAATAGTATAGTAAAATAGTATATAATTCAATTTCAACTAATGAACCAACACTTATTGTTCGTGAACTAAATAAGGAACATACAGCCTTTCGATCGAACTATGAAACGGAGTTTTATAGTAACAAATTGGTTTTCTAACTTTTATTCCATAGAAAATATAATTCACAACATACAAAGACATTGAAATTTTTCAAAGAACCTAATTTTTTCCTTCTCTGTTGCTTAACCTAATTACTTATTGAACCTAATTTATTTAAAGAGGGAATAAATCCGTCATTCAAAAGGAAACTACAAATACACACATACTTACTCTTCCTGTAGCAGCAAACCTGAGTACTCGCTAAATCTAATGTTATTGAAAAATGGAATAAATCTGACCAACTCTGAGCAAATGGAAATTCGCTTAGTCGGCAGGTTTCCTGCCTTGGGTGGGGTATTTATGACTTAATGCTAATTCACGTAATCAATCGTTTTTGGGAACGCTGAACTTTACTCCTTGTAATGAACATTAGGTTAATATAAATACCCCGCTGCAGCAAACCTGCAGACTAAGCAAATTTTAGTCTTTTTAAATTGTAACTAAAATATTTTCATAAAACAAACAAACTTTATTCCAGATTTTAAAAATAACATAAGATTATACGAGCACCAAAACGGGGAAGGATAAAAGTTAAAATGCAATAGTATTGGATGATATAAATAAATTTATCAAGTTTTATCAGAATCAATTGATAATATACCACACAACAGTTTTTTTCCATAAGAAAAACATGAAAAATTGAAAACGAAGAGTTTTAACAATTTTCTTCGTATTGTACATCAAAGCTTCAATGCACAAAATAACTTCTTATTTTAAGATCCACACCATAGCTAGAATAAAAGTTGGGCATTTCAATGTTTTTCATTATTTTCTTATAAAAACCAATAAAATAATTGCAAAATCAAATTAAAAAAACGACCAAAACGATTAAAACTAAAATTTGGTATGTTATAGCCCTCTTGATTCTAAGCAAGGATTGCTGAAAAATTACTGTTCGGAAGTTATATTACTTGATTTTACCCATAAAGTACAATAGTTACTCTCACCGCAGGATAAGGGTTGTTGACAAGCTAATAGGAGAAAACATGTGCTAGATTGCCGATACCCTTAATTTTTGTATGTTCCAGGAGCCTACCCTTACTCTGCATACTCTGCTGGTGCCTACCCCGCATACTCTGCTGGTGCCTACCCCTACTCTGCATACTCTGCTGGTGCCTACCCTTACTCTGCATACTCTTCAGCTGCCTACCCCGCCTCATACTCTGCCTACTCTTCTGCTGCCTACCCCGCCTCATACTCTGCCTACTCCGCTGCCTACCCCTCAGCGGCCTACCCCTACGCCGCCTCTGCCTACTCCGCCTACCCTTCATACGCTGCTGCCCGCGCCTTCTACTGAACACTGACCAACTATGTATTTCTGGATTAATTTCATCCCGGATTTTGTTCCTAATTTGATTGGCTTCAAAATGTTTAAAATTGTTTGGAAAGCAGATACAAATAAAAGTCATTTATTTTACTAAATATCATTTTTTGTAAACTTACCATAGATCTACGTAATTTTATTTAGTTTTAAAGATTTTAGTTTCAAGGGTGTTTTAATAAGAGTGTTCTCAGTTTATTGTAGACTAAGTTTGGCATTATATTGCAAAGTTTTAAACAATTAAGTTATTTCAGTACCTGAATATTTGATTGTTGGCAATATTAATCTTAAAACTCATGTACAAAATTCGCTCTTTGTTCAGAAACTCTTAACAGTCGTTTCCCTTAAATCAATTATACAATAAACGTACTTACTAAACCTTGCATGAATAATTATTTCATAATTTTTGGTTGTACATGGTGTTAACCAGAAAAAAATTAAATAAAAACTTTACAAAAAATGATTGGAAATTACCATGTAGAATCCAAATGTAAATTGTTGTAAAAGAATGTTATTTTGATCATATTTTTGACAATCCCGATACAGAATTAAAGATTTCGTTATTGTTATGCAAATGTTGTACACGAGACGAGTTCTATTTCCGGTGTTCTCGGTAGGTGGTTTCGGCTTGACCGTTGTTCTCACACAACTTTAAATCGAAATGCCACTGGCGTAAACAAAGGCATAACAAAATACTGTACCGCGTTACATGCCTTTAGAGAAGCTTTGCTCAATTTTCTTTTTATCCATCCTAACTACCAGTATATGTCATAGTTCAACCTGGGGTCACAACAAACTATTAAAAAGAAATCTTTATCGTGCAGAACATGAGCTGCATGAATTGTATATTCAACATAAATATGTACATACTGTACTAGGAAATTACTAAATACTAAAAGTCTTCAAGTGCAGCCTTTAGTAACTTACGAGCTGGTTATCTTACTCGCAGCTCGTAAACTAGCCCAGTGACTCACCCAAGTTGTCCTATAGCTAATATTAAAAAGGCTGGAAACGACGACTTTAGCCTCGATTTTTAACGCAACTCACACTATATATAAGCGGAAAAGATTTTTAAAATAACCAAGAACACTATCTATTTGTGAACATACGTCAAGTTTGATTAGTCTTGATGGTGTCGTTGGAATTGGTTAATATTGTGCCACCAATATTGGCCTGAACTAGTTGGTGGCACAATATTAACCAATTCCAACGACACCATCAAGACTAATCAAACTTGACGTATGTTCACAAATAGATAGTGTTCTAGGTTATTTTAAAAATCTTTTCCGCTTATATATAGTGTGAGTTGCGTTAAAAATCGAGGCTAAAGTCGTCGTTTCCAGCCTTTTTAATATTAGCTATAGGACAACTTGGGTGAGTCACTGGGCTAGTTTACGAGCTGCGAGTAAGATAACCAGCTCGTAAGTTACTATAGGCTACACTTGATACAGCCTAGAGATGCTTGGTGAAATATCAGAGGATTGTCATTATTGTTTATACCACACATGGAAATAACACTATTAATAAGAACTGAAATCTTATTTAATGTCAAACCCACCCAGAACAAGTGATTCAAATCAAAAGATATTATACTATTGAAATTTATTTGATATACAGTATTAGGTAAATTCTTATAACATAAATTTAATTTTGTTTAATAAATCGTTTAAATAGATAAAAACTAAATAATCTCTCATATTCTACATATCTTGGGTTATTTGTTGTAAATAATAAAACAATATGATAATCAATAAGCCATTGCTACATGAACGTATGGCGTACACTGTTTGTTCAGTATTTGAAATGTTTTAGTAATTCTATATATATAATGCAGCTGCTAGAAGATATGAACATTTAAAAGAGTTAGAGATTCAAAATTAATTTGATTGCTTATTTACTTATTGTAAAAATGAGTACTCGATATAGTTTGGGACTATTTATTAGCACAAAGCTATCTAAACCCTAGCGTTTCATAGGTAGGCTGATTGTTCACATTCGAGTTACCACTAAACACACCTCATAAAAACCTGTTTCGTAGATATGATAAATGAATTTCAAACAATGGTCAAAGTTGTATACTTTCTTATGTGCATTCAGTAATGACAGTATTAGTTAAATATTTTCCAAAACTCGGGCAAACTTAGATTTCCATAAATTTCGTGAGTGATATTTAGAGCCTACATACTTTCGAACTACCTCATAAGTTACGCCATTTTGTAAAGGTAGACGAATAAATAAAATGTGGATTGCTCAGCCTCTGCCATTGCGAGGCTGAAACCGGTTTAGGTATGTGTAGGGCTGTGTTGGGCCAGGAGATGAATTGTGGTTGAAACATTTGGACGTATCTACGATCAGCGTTGTCATGGCTCTTAATTAGTCTAGCTACACCTTTATAGTCTACCAACTGATGTAAGAGATCAAACGTTGTAGTTAGTGGAACTGACAAAATACAATCAAATGACTATGAACTGTGGAAAATAATACTAATAAAACTACTAAAACTAAAATAGGTACTAAAAATACTATAATACTAAAACTACTAAAACTAATACAGGGAACTATTGTGAAATAGTAGCTTAGGCAAAAATTGCGTAAGGATAGTGTTAACAACACGAGTAGAAAATTCAAGGTTCGAGCCTCGGCGAGTGCCTTAAAATCTTCAGCGAGTGTCGTTAACACGATTTACGCGAAATGCGTACACTACTTTATTTATGACAGTGTTTTAATGCCTAAAAATCACTACTCATAAGAGAGGTTATGTTTTCGTTTATTACCTCTCGTTGCTACTGACAGTGATTCTACGAAACATTGTACCAAACACTAATTGAACCACTTAACAATTAATTGAATTTGCCTGAACAGCTCATTAGTTGAAGTTCAATTCTAATAACTGAAGTTAAACGGCTACTTAAAAAGACTGTCGTAGTTAAAAATATGTGTAGAATTTAGGAACAGTTTAAATAAATCGTTCTAAAAAGGGAATTACTGTTCATACGATTAGAGTTCCATTATTAACGTGTTTCGGGGAACCAACTTACAGCATGAGTGATTATTTAACTACATATATATATACTTGAAATATCACTTAATTCAGCTGATAAAAATTAGTTCCTTTCCATTAAAGTTACTTTCAACAAAAACTTCACTTCAAGAAGGTTTTTGCGTTGATTTTCTAAGATAAACACAACGTTTGATTGTGGAGGTGCGACTATATAGCTTATGCAGTGTAAACCTTTTGAACATGTTCATAATGATGTTACAGTTTGAACAAACCATTATTTGTAGAGTTTCAAAATAGATAGTTATGTCATGCACCTTTTTAGAATCTTTTTACAATCTTATGTTGAGAGTTAAACACAGCGTTTGGGTTAAGAGGTGCGAGAAGATAGGCAATGTAATGTACACTTCTAGAACACGTTTACAAATTGAACACAACATTGTTGACAATATTAAATAATACTAAATGTAAAATGCAACATTTGTTGTCGAGGCGCGAGTGAATTAGGTGACGTTGTGTTCACGTCCAGGTAATATTTTATAAACGATATTGAAGATACTATCAGATTTGGCTCCCGGACCGCGCAACGAGTGACCTATCACGTCAAAGCTTGACCAGCTCGTATGTTGACTCTGATTACTCAATTCAAAAATGTTTGGAAACTGAACAGAAAAGACTCTAGTAACAATGTTCCAAAATATAGAGAGAAAACTTAAACAATCAATCGCATCTCCTTTGATGCGAAATAATGTTACTACCACTTACAAGTAACGTTACGGTACAGCTATGGTTTTAAGTATACTATACGTTTTGACGACACACAATAATTTAATTTAATGGGTTACTTACTACCTATTTCCATTCGACTCAATGTACAGCTTTAGTAATACAGACCTGTAACATAACACAAAAGTTTTTTTTATATTTTTAAATTAATCTTTACAAGTAGGCCTATTATTCTTAAAATTACCAACATCTATCTCATAAAATCTATCTCTTGTATTTATAAAACATCATCTAAAGAATGTTTAACTACTTGAAAGGGATTACTGCATCTTGATGAATGAGGACAAACAAATAAAACAGTATTAGTGAACGAAAGGTATAACACTGGAACTAGGGAGTGTATGTATGGTTACATATCACTTGCTCTATAGTACCGGTACCTCGTTGTACCTATATACCTGTACACTTGCTATGAAGCGATCTACTGGTCTTACAACTCGTACTTCTATCAAATCTGGTGATGGAGGTAGAACCTCTTTAACAGTTTTCTATCACCCGTAACTACTAACTAATACTAAATATACTAAATCACACCAGAACCACCAAATCGATTTAATTAAAATTTCATATGAAGGTACTGTTAGTGTATACCTGGTTAACACATAGGCTTATTCCTCTTCTTATATACTACCTTGGGCTATGTCCTGTGGACTTTCAAAGTTTTAGTGTTAATACTTTATTTGGAATTTTCACTGATAGTTCTCTATGGCAAACACTAGAAAACTCATAAAGTTTATATTTTGCGGTTGACATTTCAATTTAAACTAGCAGAATTATTGAAAAAAAGAAAAAAAACCACTTGATTTCACAACTCCACACAGCTGGTTTAAACAAAACAAATAATAATATTGCACAATGGAAAAAAGTAGAATTCTATCTGCCCCTGAGTTTTTAACTAAGCTTTGAGAATTATTTTCAAGATACAATATATTTTTATGTAAACTGCAACTCAAAGTTTAATAACATTGTATACATCGCCTACTTTAAAAAAAAACCTTTTCCTTAGCTATGAACTCGACATAAAAGTTTGTATTGTTAGTGCAACATTGAACAACTTAAAGTAACAACTTAAAGTAGTTTGTTTGTCAGTTTTCAACTAACCGTGTAAAAGAATGGACCTACAGGTTAAAACGATTACACACGGGATCTTTATTGTGGAGACATATCGTTTGACGAGTAGCTTGAGTATTGATATTCTATCACTTCCTTATTGTCACTTCCCACCTCAGAATGTTAACAATAACACCTCCACTGTGCAGTGTGCAGGCGGGTCTCGGCGCGCCGTATCGGTCTCGCCTTCTGCAGATGTTATCATCAAGTATAGTTACCCTTATCAGCTATCGGGCGAAGAGCTCATTTCCCATATGACCGCATCTCGACGAAGTACAGCACAAGGTCGATGAAATGTCAAACTAGGAGGGGATCTTCAGGGTATATAATCCAAGTACCTTCTAGTCCCTTCATCAGTTCTCCTCCTAAGACCTGACTATCCTAACATGGCGTCCTTCAAGATTGTGGTGAGTGTTATTAATATATTATTTATTAAAATAAAATACAAAATGGATCTTTCTGAGCATATAAAATTTTCTTAAATTTAATTCTAAAGCAATGCCTAAGCCGTTTTTGTGCTTTAATTGTACAAAAAGTAAAATAATATAATAAAAAAAAATCCAAACAAAGCTTGATAAAAAACAAAAATATATATAACACGCTTTATAAGTTTCATGCTTTATTATTATTGATTCTTTACACTATTTAATGGACAGCATAAAATCATTAAAACACAGCTCGAAGAGTATCGTCCTTAAATTTTTACAAGTAGATCAAGTTAACAATGATAAATAAATTTTGCCAATAAAATTTAAAAAGTGAGCAGCTGGAAATACCTTAGGGCTAAACAACAAACGTATATTGCATATTGTATGTTTCATAGATTATTATTTCAAAAAGATGGAGTAAAGCTTTCATAACAAGTAAACAACAGTTCGGTTAAAAATACCCTAATATTGTATTTGTTATTAGATAATGTAAGAGGAGACAAGAGCCACGCACTGTATCATATAGTGTAGATATACTATCAGAGGAATAAAAAATCAATAATAAGATAGTAAACAACTAAGAAAAAACGGAGTATGGCCAGGTTGAGTACCAGTATGTGAAATAAGTTGACTTATGTTCCTAGTTTACCTAATATATCACAGCTAACAAGCGAGGGATGTGTACAAATGTGAAGATATTCATGGAACAGTAAATTATCTGAAGTAAATTATAGCTGCAGATGCTACTACAGAATCGACTAAGTCAAACTATTCCATATGGTGTTACTTAAATTTATGTATGCAATTCTAGCTAGTATTATCGTATGTCTAAATAAGAGACTAAACAATGAAATATTATACGGTAAAAACATTATAATATGTTAGGTACAAAACAATTTTCAACTCGTAAAGAATCAAGATAGGCAAATTGCTGACACAATTATATAGAGTGTTGATATTCTACACATTTTAAACCTAAGAATTATCACAACAATACGTATTAAATTCAATAAACTCCCTTTGTAAGTGGCGCTCAACCACAGAACAACGCTTTACAGAGTTGTATTAATTGCGATCTTTTACCCATTAAAATTTTAATAATCGTATATGTTTATTACCCATTGCGGACTTACTTTCTGTGATCGGTTTTATACTCGATATTATTTCATCACTATTTATTTACATTAACGAATTAATCGATTCTTATTAAACAAAATACATTAGGTATAATGTCGATTTTAAAAGAAGGGTACATACATAAAATACATTTGGGTTCATTGTTCCAAAGCTGAAGTGGGAACACTGTATTATATATTTACGAGCATAAAGAATGTCAACAATTCTTTAGAAATTATTTTCAACGAGTTAGTGAGTGGGTTTTGGATTTTAAGTATTCCAATAAATACAGATTTAAATTTTTTCTATAGGCAATTCTTTTAGCAGTAATATACGATTTTAATCGCCTTTGGTGTAAGAGTACAATAAAAATCCATATAAATCTTAAATTCAGCAATTAATTTAATCATCAATTGAACAAATACTACGAACAGTTCACACTGCATAACTAAAATGTGGGTTTTAAGGGAAGTTGATACATGATTTTATTAGTTTGACCCTTATCAGTGTTTTCTCTTACCTTTATGTAAAGAAAACTTTTCCAACCAAGGTAAATTGTAGTTTTTGTTATTTTTTCCTAACTTTTTATGCTGAAATATATCACTATATATACCACTCACAAAAAGCCATATTTTAGTGAAATTTATTTTACACCTTCATGCATTCAACAAAACGGTGCGCGTAGAGATTTTTACGCTGGCAATAGTATAATACTAAGTAAGTAGGCCTAATTGCAAGCGTAAGTCAATACATGAAAGATAATGAGGAAATAGCCTTGCAATGACTACAAAACAAATACCAAAAACAATATACTTGTTATAAAAGAAAGCTAAACTACCAATTTTCAAGTTATGAATTATGACTTTTTTACAGAAATGCAAGAATAAATTATAAAATTATATTTAATTTTCTATTTTATTCAAAGTTCTATCAAGTAAACAAAGTATTTCGTTGGGCTCAGTATAATAATTATTGCTTGTTAATAAAGAAGTGAACGTCACTAATATCTAGTCAAATCGTAGTTGTATTAATAAAAAACAAAGGTTCTCATGTTGAAAGGGGCTCAATATAAACTAGTAGGAGTGTTTTGAACCCACCTCTAACATATGAGGCCCCATACAGTAACTAAGCAGTTGTCTATCACAGTGTGTCCTCGCCCTGATGGTTGCCGCCGTCCTGGCCGACACCGACCCTGCACCAGCCACCAACGACCGTACCAAGAAGCAGGTCTACAGTGGATACTACGGCTCTGGATATGGTATTATGCGTTGTATTATTTTAGTCAACATGCATTGTGTACAAAATATTTTTTAGCAAGACAATACAGGTTCTACCTGTTCAGCAGTTGTACAAACTCTCTTTAAAACTTCCTCTCTGAGTAGTAGTTATTGATGACAGTCGAGAGTTAATATCACTTAAAAATGATTGTAAAAAAAAACTTTATTGATTTACTCAAGGTATATTTGATTGGACGAAATGTGTAAAATATCGTTTTGTTTATTAGAATAAATGATGAGAGCAAACAATCGTGCTTAACAATAAACAGGCATCTCAACCAATAAAGCTGAAAATGTGTTAATATATAAATAGTACAAGCTAAATAAAGGACCATTCAAGGGATGCATTCCTTACTTGTATGACCTTGTATTTGCTTAAACACCATTGGCATTTGTTAGTTTTGTTTCCAAACTCTGGTTTCGTTACTGTGTTATGTAGACCTCAAGTCGGAGACCACTAGTCAACTGATAGCCCGATGGTAACAATAGTAGGGGTGCACCAAGATTTGGAAGAAGTGCATTTAACTAAGCATAATAGTATTTTAGATATAAAGGTTTAAATATTAATAACAATTTGTATACTTTTCAGGATCATACCCCTATTCTGCTGGTGCTTATCCCTACAACGCACCCTACTCAGCTCCATACACTGCTCCATACACTGCTCCATACACTGCCCCATACACTGCTCCATACACTGCGCCATACACTGCTCCATACACTGCGCCATACACTGCACCATACACAGCACCCTACTCTGCCGCCGCCTACCCCTACACTGCCGCTGCTGCTACTGCCTACCCTTACAGAGCTGCAGCCGGCTACTTGGGTGGAGCCTACCCTTACACCGGAGTTCCTGCAGTCTACTGATAATTCAGTAGAATACCAATAGAATTACTTTTTACCTGAATCTTTCAAATGTAAAATGTGCAATATTAATAATAAACAAGTGCAATATTCTTACATTATTGTTGCAGCTACATTTCTGTCCTATTCCCAAAATTAAACGAGCTACGATATAAATAATGTTACAAGAACATTTTAATATTACGCTTAAGAACATATATTTTTGCAAGTGATCCTAGGTCAAAGCTATTAAAAGCCCAAGCCATAAATGATGATATTTGTGTGTACTCCAAATTTTCAAAAAATCAGAACAAAAATTTCTGAAATAAGGAATTTAAGCATATTATTTGTTGACGGCGTTTTAAAAGACATTAGCAAACTATACGTTGGAACGCAGATTATAAAAGACTTAATCAGACAAACATATACATTAACCATTAGATACACTACCACACCTATATTACTAACTTGTAACCAAAACCCCTTTTGATAATGAAATTCGAGTAAAAAAAATGATGTATAAGTATTTCATTTCTCAATAATGTTTTGTAAAACAATTAGCAAGTGTTTTTAGAAAACCTGATTATTTGATTGTAACTATTTCATCAATAAAAAACTATCTACTAAATTTTTAGAGGTCTTAAAAACCACATGAGTAATAAGAAGAAATATTGCTATCAGGCAGAAGCCCGTACGTGGAATTAAAGTAGTTTCAACAGGTGCAATAAACATTTGATGACGTGTATGCTGTTGTTTATTTCTGTTACCTCACTAGGAAAAAATAAATCATTTTCTTTTGAAAATCTATTAATGAAACTAATGTTTGAGGGGAGTAAGTGGTTTCGAATTACTTAATGGTCTGTTCTATATGTTTTACTACAGGAGTCTCACACTACAGGCTACCCAACTGTGTGCTTAAAAGCATTTTCTTTCCCTCCTCTCACTTTAAAACTAAACCTATATTGTTTTTAACTATGATTGTAGTCAATAATACTTTGGTTCGTACTAAACAGTACTTTTAAATCACAAATGTCTCCAATTTTTATTTTAAAGTGTCCAAACATTTTTACTAAAACTACTGTATAGTAGTTAAAAATCTTGTAAAGTATAAACTTACACCTCTATACTTACACCTGTTTTATAAAGGAAAGAAATATAAATTACAATTTATACCTATATACATCCTTTTATAGAATATTTACTACGTCGTCGCCATAAACCATAAAGCATATACCATATACTGTCATAACACAACCTAAAAGCCTCCCAACTCTAATGGAACACTAGCGTATAACGACGCGCGGAGAATAAGATCTTGACGAGCTTGTGGATTTATGGCACTGTTACGGGATCCTCCTGCATAAATAAGATTTATACATAAAAAGTTGACTACCGTATTGTATTTAGAATACGAGTGAGTGAACAACTCGTTTAATATTACAAGGTAATTTCACATAATACTGGACACATCACGAATAAAAATGCATAAGGGTCGTTTGAAGGTAAATTATCAATAATTTTATGTAACAGTATTCTATTGCAATTTTTGAATCCAGAGCTACTTATTTAATGAAAAGCTTACAGTTTTGATATGAATTAAGCATTTTTATTTGTTTGATCTTATCTTTTGCTTCGCTATAAAATTAGAAACTACTGAAATGCTTGTTGAGAAAACTACGTATACCAGAATATTTGTATTACACATTATTAATATAAACATTTATGTCAAACGATTATTATTTATGGTTTTCTCTACAATGGTGTTTTTTTATTTACATGCAAAGCTCAGGAAAATTGAGGTTGCAATAAACCCGTGATCCAACACTACGTGATGTATTTCAAATTATTCTGAAATTAATTGTAGTGTTAGTGTAAACATGTCAAGTGTTGGCACACTTCGTTTCGTTTATCCACAAACTGGGACGAGCATAGTGCTTAAAAATTAGCAACAGGTACTTTTGCGATTTGATTTAACCCTTGAAACTTAACACTAAAAAATCAACCGTCAAAAGTATGATTAATATAGATCTTTTTTATCTACAAGAAGCAATGTGTATACAACATTTGAAACCCATTTAGAAGTATTGTAAAATTTCACCCAACTTATGGTAAAATCTGCCGCGAACGGTGTGAACTCGTCAGCTCTGTTGCGTCGTAAACGATGAAGCACGTCCCGTCCTGTCAGTCGTAAAGTATACGACCGCCACGCGAGCTGAGCAGTAGTCCCTTGGGATACTGAACAGTGAACTGAAGACCAGACGTTGGCGATGTCGGGCACCTCCATCGTGATAGACAAGTGTTCTAGTCTATGTTTCACACACCTTGTAGGCATAAACACATTTGGAATTATGAAAGTGAAATTGGTTTATAACAAAAATATATCTGTACGTACTTTAATTTTCAATTACTTTTGTTTGGCCTACATTTCCTTTATACCTATTTTCTCACACCAATACCTAATGACATGCAACACATTGATTAATTATCAATTAATCGAATGGGGTAAGGTATCTCTAGTTTCCCAAATGTGTTAGATAGAATAATCACAAAGACAGGAAAGAATAAAATAATTTTGAGAAGCGTTATTACAAATGAAAATAAATTAAATGTGTTTTCACATATATGTAATTTCCACCTAAACTTTCGATGTATTCACTCGAGTACAACTTTTTCTGCACTTGAGATCCAACTCACCGTAAAACCGGCAGTGATACGGTCTTGGGCAGAACACGATGGAGAACGACTAAAATAATTTATACTATGAGGTCGAGCGAAATCTTATAAATACTGAAACAATTAATTGTACGTATTAGAATTCCAACGGATGTATTTACGACATATGTAACAATTAGAACAGGCGTTTTTTTTGGTTTCTTGGTAGCCTATAACTCATAAGTCATAAGTAATTTATTTGGCCAGATTTAAATTAATGCATTGGCTAAGTCAATATACATTAAAAAATACAGAGTGTCTTATAAACTATAAAATAACTAGGCCTACTAAACTAAACAATATTTAAATGTAATCAATTTATGAGCCAAGCATACCATATGCCTATGACTACCCATCAGCAATAAAATCACGGACACGGTAGTAAAACTTGGACACCAGTAATTTTCGCAGTGATGTTTTTTTTTTAACAACAGGGTTTGACTCAATTTTTAGATGGGTTGGCAATGCATTGAAAAGCAGCATACCGTTATAATAAATATGTTTTTTTGAAAGAGGTGGTTGAATGTTTTGGTATCTGAAGATTAGGACTGTTTCGCAAAGAATATGGACATGATCTGGAGCTTGAAAAGATGGAAATGTTCTTTTTCAGAAAAGAGAGTGTTTCAAGGATGTATATGCATGGAAAAGTTGAAATATTTGAAGACTGAAAAAATGTTTGTATGAAGTTCGTGAGCTGATTTTAAAGATGTTTCCAATTGCTCTCTTTTGAAGTCGAAATAGAAATCTGGTACTTCTATTCTCACATCCCCATGCCGGCACTGCGTATACTAAACGAGAGATTTCTGATCAGAAAACTTTGACAATTGTTTTAAAAGAAAGATACCGGAACCAACCCTCATACACACACTGTCGATACGGTCATAAAAACGAAGGGGTTTGTCTAATATTAAACCAAGGAACTTTAAGCCTTATTTTTAAGTATAGTACATACAGGGCGATTGATATAAATGTGCCAGCTGTTTTATTCGAAATTTATAAGGAACTAGCTGTACCCGCGGGCTTTGCCCCGTTTAACTTCATAAGTATTCGCATGGCTCATTCACGTCCTGGTTGAAGTTCGTTCGCTACGCTCACTCACCTTTAGGTTGGAGCTCGTAAGCTGCGCTCACTTGCCTTCAGGTTAGCTCGTTCGCTACGCTAACTCGCCTCCAGGTTGAAGTTCGTTCGCTACGCTCACTCACCTTTTGGTTGGAAATTAGCTGTTGTCATAAATTAAAAAAAATAATAGTGCTGCACCCTGTTGGTAATCCTTGTAACTTGCTATTGAACATCATAGAACAGAACCAACTTGTTTAATTGAAACAGCTGTTAAGATTCATTAATTCCTTTTAAATATGAAAAATCATAAGGTTAACATGGGGAACTACAGAGCCACTGGGGCGGAGCCCGAAAGGATTTTTGAGATAAGAATATGCTTTAATGTTAATCGGGAATGTGAGCTATCATCATGCCAAATTTCAGCCCAATCCGTCTAGTAGTTTATGCGTGATTGAGCAACACACACACAAACACACACACAAACATACACACAAACATACACACAAACTCACAAACTTTCAGATTTATAATATTAGTAAGATATCACGAAATGTTAAATTGTAACACCGGCTTGGATTTTTTTTATTTTAAAAAATGTCGTAAAGTTGAAAAAATATTTTAGACGCCATTTTCCCAATATAGCTGCCAACTTTGATTTTTCTTATGGAAGACCCTATATTTTATATTTTTTAGAAATGCAATGTCATTTAAAATCGTTTTTATCCTTGTCTTTTTTTGTCTAAACCTAATTATTTAGGAGTTGCAGCGTAAAAAAAAACTAAGAAAAAATAATTGCGGTGTACACTTCTGCGCCATAAAAAAATCGTAATTTATAGGATCTTCCATAAGAAAAATCCAAGTTGGCAGCCATATTGGAAAATGGCAGCTAAAATTATTTTTTTAACCTGATCAAAATCTTTTGAGTAAAAATCCAAGGCAGTTACAGTTTAACTTTTTTTTTTTAAATATCTTATAACTTTCGAATTAAACAGCTGGCACTTATATCAATCACCCTGTATAGACCAGACCTAGTTCTCATGTTTAAGACCACGGTAACTTTCCCATAAGGAAATTTATTGATCTCCTATTTTAAAACCCACTTAAAGATTTTATGCATATAAATAATGCTATGATAAATAGTGAAAATATTCATTCAGTCGATAATTATTACGCTTTCCACACACCGGGTGACTAAAAGACTGCATAAACGTTCGGTAAGCACGCAGTAGGCCTACGTGTTATTCAATTTAAGAACAGTAAATAAGAAACGTCTACCATCTTACCATCCTATGTATTTACCGTCTTGTAAGTTTACAGTATAGTAATATCTGTTTTTAGACTTAATTAA